AAAAAAAAAGTTACTTGTTAGATTGGCTCTTGGTCAACATAATATCATATTAAAATGAAAACTTACTTGTTAAGAATTATATAAAAAAACAACAACAACAGAATAAGACCATTCTAGGTGTTCTTGTTTCAAAATTATCTAATAATCCACAAATGTTTATAGTATACGTTCGATTTTTTGTTTTGAAGTGTCTCTCTTTTCAACACAACACAGAACGGCATTTCATCGAATCACATGCCAAACATTGAACATTTCATTAAGAAAAATTGTGCGTAAACTATTTTAGATGTGAACATAACGAATGCATATCAAATTGTGTCCTTCCAAGCAGATAAAATAAAACAAACATTAACTTCATCAACAAGATTTAGAACAAGGTAAAAAAAGCACACTTAAAAACAAGTAGTGACATATGATGCTGAACATTTTGGAAATATATTTTTTTCTTGTTTTTGAAATTATTCAAAATAATAATAGTAAATAAATGATATATGTTTTGTGAATGGATATAAAAAGAGGATGCCCGGGAATGAGTCTAAAAGACGAAAATTAAATATATAAAAACGAGCGGATATTTTTTGTAAAAAAAAGCAGAATAGTCTTATTAGCTCAAGTAGAATCATCAATTTCGAAACGAATGAGTGCAATGTATTAAAAATAGGCATATTTTGAACATGAAGCTATATTTTCTTCGTCTCATTGCCATATACTCATCTTATTCAGCCGTCAACGATTCTATTTGATAGAGAGACCTAGTGTGTGTGTCATAAAAATGAAGAAAAGAATATAACCAATATATATTTTTGTTGCTTTATGTAATATATCATATATTTACTGGAAAATTATATTTGATTTTGCGTCGCATATTTAGAGTAAAGGTGTGTATTCACTGAAGATTACCTTGGAATGGTGTTGTCAACTAAATTGGAAGATTTTATGTTTACTCCGCATTTTTTACACCACACTGGCACTAGGTACAAGGTAATATTTAGCGAATATATTCCAAAGTTAATACAGTTCGTTGATTTACTCATTAAATTTGCAAAACGATCAAACTACGAACAATGTATTTAGATCAAGTCTAGTGTATAAAAATATTAATAATAATTAAATGATATTGGAAAAATAGGAAATCAATACAATAATTGAACATAAACAATTATAAATGTGAGCATACTCTCAATACATATCATTACTAATTTAACATTTAATAATACACTGTCAAAACACAAAATTGATAATACAAAGAAAAAAGAGAAAAATATACACCTTGAAAAAAAAGACATATCAAATTATAAAAAAAAAAACAAATGAATACTCTCAAAATACAAAATTATATATGAATGTTATTAATTATGTTAAAAATAACCCTCTATTAAAAACAACAAAAAAAAGATGTGACTCCATTTAACTTAAAGTCAAACCTAAATATATAAAGAAAATGGAATCCTTATACATCATTTATTTGGCAAATATCTAAATGTGTTTTTTTAATCAATTCTATCTTTTTTATTTAAAGATAGAATCGACTACGAATTGAATATTGTTTCTGCCTAAGGCCATGATATTATTAAAATATATTGAAAGATTTTAATGAAATGATGAACAGATTTATTTATCTTGTTGATAAGTTTGCTTTAATCGGCATGCATAAACTCACACATTCAGCGTTACCTCTTCTACGGTTGAGATGTAAATTAGTGTAAATCGAATTCAAGACATAAATTTTTTTTGTCTACTTTAGCAAATCATTTTGCGATGTTTGACAACAAACTATTTTCTCGATCAAAAATTGATACCTGAACTCGGTGTTTACGAGCAAATCACAATCTCATTTTACGCTTTTTTACGTCTTGGCTTGTAGAAGACACCCCCATAATTATTGTGATATTAATTTATTGACACCACATCTATTTCATATCGATAGTTAGAGTGGTGTCTCTATTTCTGGCAAATCGATCATCACAACCGAAGAAACAAATGCATTAAAACACTCACTCGGACTCAAAAACACTTGATAGCATTCATTTGAATTTACAAACTTTGCCAAATGAACAACAACACCACAGATGTAATAAATTCCCATAATTGCAAAACTGAAAGAAAACCAAAACATATCTAAATGCTGTTTAATATGTCAATATTATGGATTATGGTGAGGTGTGTTGAGGAATTACGAAAAAAAAAAAACCAAAAAACAAACTAAACGAGAGCAAACACGAATTTGCATGGAAATCAATTACATTACAATAATTATTATAAATATTACGATGTTTATGAATGTATTCAATGGAAAAAAAAAATATATTGTTTATATTATTTAAATGTTCGAATGGCCTTCAAAAAGTTGCATTGATTTTTCCTTCGGCATGTCCTCATTACCTGTTTCGTATGGACATACGATCCCGTGTTTTAATTTATTTTAGCCGGCTCGGTTCGATTGATGGATGGTTCATAATGGAAAATGGTAAGTTATGCTACAATTTTTGTGTTTTCTCGATTATGGACAACATAAAGCGGTCACGGAACTTTTTTTTTTTTTTTTCAAACCCAGACGTGCTGACTGACCGACTGGGTGATTAAAATTCTTTGAATTTTTCTTCGTTAATTTATTGTATTCACGCAATTTTATGCATATGATTTTCCTGTTTTACCAGAAGTAAAAAAATGAATAGTCATTACGATGATAAAGCGTTCGTGCATAATTTCAACATAATATGTGACAAAAATGGCACACGATGTGCAAGGTGTCAAATGATAGTTTGATCTTAAGGTTAAATGCAGTTTTCGCCATCAAATCAATCGATGGTTTCTATTTTCAGCGATTCATGTAATCGTTTGTTTTCCGGTGTTTCGGTAATGTGAAAATGAATATCATGCATTCGATGTGATTTATCATTCACTTCAACATATATAAATTTCTTATATAATTCTTCTTTTTTTTCGTGTGTATAAGCAAATGAATAAAAACACAAATCTTGATACGAATTTCGATGTGGATTTTTTTTATGTGGTATCAAATAAAACAGGTAGTCATCTTCATTCCAATTAGATAGGAAAAACAACAACAACAACAACAACAACAACAACATCATCAACAACATAACATACAATTACAAAGGTTTTGACATTTGGCCTAATTTTGTGTAATTACTTTTGAGTACAAGCGCGCCTCGTACGCACGCGCATTTATTCATGAAATTACTTGAAAACTCTTTTAATTAATTAACATCAGTCGTTCAAGTCGTTCAAGTTGATTGATCATTTTTTTTGTATGTGTGTTATTTCTTCTCTCTTTGTGTATGCTAACTGTAAAGTGGGAAGGAATTGACGCGAGCATTAAAAAATCAACAACAACAACAACCATGTTATGCAGGTGGTAGTATGATGGCAAATGGAAGACAAAACACAAAAAAAAAATCAAAACAAAACAAAAACATAAAATGCATATGTCCATGTAAATGTTATTGAATAATTTAATAATGTTGATGTGATGTGTGAATGAAAATGTCTAGCATGCATATCGTGCATCGGGGTGACGTAGACTGGGTAAGTTACGTGAGGTAAACATAATCACTTTCGGTTTCATCAGTTCAAAGACAGTGTTGAGTTCGTTCAGAGTAGCGCGCTATCATAACTGGCGCGCAATCTCGAAAAATCATCGTATTTTCGTATTTTAGCTGGCATTGTACAAGACAAAGAGCAAACGAACAAACGAAGAAGTAAAGGTGCACCATCGGTGCTATGTGAATGATATGAAGAAACGAGAAAATGAAGATGAAGAATAAAAATATATATGCACAGCTATTTTGTCTTTATGAATTGTTTTCAACTTGTGAATATAATCGCATCGCATCTCAATCATTATCATGAATTCATTGTTTCTATCTTTCTCTTCGTTGCAACAAACTTATGCCATGTGTGTGTTTTTTTTTTCGTTGCTTTTGAATGCACATACAAACCAAAAGAAAAAGAGCAAGGCATTGCAGAGTTCAAACATGTGCTTATACAGAGCGCACTTAGAATGGCAACAACAATAAACTGTCCAGCTCTTTTCGATTGAAATTCAACGAACGTGTTGTTCGACGTTGCCGGTGTTCATACCGAGACAACGCATAGACAAATGTAAGTCGTATTGTTGACTAAACGAAAGGTGCCAAACAGGTCGGATTTGAATATTAATGAAGAAAATTTGTTATAGAGAATTTGCTATACTTATTCAGAAAAAAATGTGCATATTTTTTTTATTCTTACACAGTATTAATATCATTTTCTTTCTAATTTTGAAGAATCTTAAAATTCATTAAACTGACCGATAAGGATTCAACACAGCTGGCAATTTTTGGTTCAGCATCATATAAGAATTAGCACACCATGTTCTTTGTCCATTTTCAATGTGAAAACAGGTCGACATTTTCCACCACCTTGTTTGTCATCTGCCACTGATTCAAACCAAACTCACCAATAGGCCATGGCTTGGCCCTCGTCTGGACGAAGTGAAGCATCGAGTCCATAGAATGCAAGTAGGTGCAGTTAGTTTGAACCCAATCCAGTAACCCTGTCCTTGCCAAAATCACAGCATCCACTGAATATCACTCCTTTTTTATATGGTTTTGATGATGAAATCATACATGATGTCTTTTGAATCGTATAATATACAATAGGATATACTATACCATTTTATCTTGAACATTTCAATGAATTGATCAAAATATTTGAACTCTATTTGTGATTTCAAATCGAACTAAAATCTCATCATTTTTATTGAAAAATAGTGTGAAATTTTCAATAATATTTCATTGCTTTATAAAGAGATTCAATCAATGCGATTCACATAGCTTTCGTACAATGAACTCTGGATAGAAACAACCATAAAAGCAAAGCACGAATAAAATCAACACGATACCGAATTATCTACATATATGTACATAAACTTTTGCAATATATATTTTTTTCATTTGTTTTATATTGATTTTTCAGAAGTTTTGGCTGAATGTTGAAAAGGTTAATCTGAAAATATCCCAGCTCGTCGTTATCGATATGCGTAAAGAACGAATCAAAATTCTTTTTTATTTAATTTAAATTTTGCAATTAACAACAAAACATTCTCCTTTTGTAATTTGGTTTGTACATAAAGTACCGAGCAAATTCGAATGGAAAGCCTAGAACTAAAAGACTTTTTTTATGGTAACGATTTTATGGCCTTCATTCTCTTCATAAACGAACTCAGTGGTACACGTTTGAAGTACGGTACTCTGCTAAAAAACTCGTAAAACCTTTTTCGTTACCAAAAAAAACCCAAACATTAAAGATAAAAGGGTTTGAAAATAGTGTTTGAGTCTAAAATGGTTTCGATGTTTCCACTTAATAATTTGGTTGTGACATTTGAATTTTACATTGAGTACATGAAAAATTTCTTCTTTTTTTAGAAATATGGTCTGCCTACCCTTTATACCATCAATGCAGAGACAATATTATACAAAATAGTTTGAATTGGCATGCGAATGTATATATGTCATGTGTAATGTCAATTATTGTTGATGAATTAATTTTGATTATTTTTCCCATATCTTAAAATTTGGAAAGTTATTTGTTTGCAATGTGATTCCCGTAATTTAATTTCCAGCAATGAATTTATATCGTCTTTCCAAATTCGAAACAATATTAAATTAACCGTACATATGAAAATCCACCAGGCATATTTCTCAATTTGATTAAACTTACTTTCTCTCGTTCACACACACAAACGTTACATTCGTATCGTCGAGTAAACCTCGTAAAAAAATTTCATCGAAAAATGAATTTACAATTCAATACACATTTCGTAAGCAAATCTTAAGCTTCAGATTTTATGTAATCACAATGTAATGTCATAGGTACCGAATTCGATTGCGTTCGGCTGACAAATGATAAGTCGCAACTGGTTTCCGCTTCAATTTTGTAAAAGAAGTGATTATGATTAAAATGTTAAACATGTGTAGACATTAATGTTGAAAATAATAATAATGTAATCACTTTTGCTGATTGTGTGCGCGCATAATAGAATGAAATGCGGCACATTTTGAACTTATTTTACCATTGTTATAAAGTTTATGCGTCGCATTTGATTTTACGTAGCACGATGAAATAATCAAGATAAAGATTCTGCAAATGAGAGCTTCAAATTCATGAAATAGCATTGCTATCGTTTGTTTCGTTTCAATACCCCCGCTGATGTGCATGCATATGCAATAAATCACACACACACATTTCTTCAAATCTGATAAATTTTGTGGTAAAATCTCTCTTGCTTCGTGAAAACGATCATTATTATGAATGAAATGTTACTGCAGCAAGTCATTTCGATTGTAATTCAGTTACGGCATCGATAAAATAAAAATAAAATATATAATTCTAGTGTATTTGTGGTTTTCATCATCAATATAGGTTTTTTTTTTATTTCATTGAGTATTTTTGTTTGTTTTTCACCATTTTTTTTTCCATTTTGTAAAAACAGTTAGAGCATAATAATATACAATAAAATTTATTTGTACAATGTTGAATTTATACTTTTTGAGATTTATATTTCATTCAAAACTTTTTTTTTTGTTCAAAAGAATCATAAAATAAAAGAATAAATTTCACGTATGCGCTAATGAAAATTCACAAATATTAAAACACATGAAATATGAAACATAAAATAATTTAAATACAAATGGATGTTCTCGTTTTTTTTTTTTTTTTCAAATTGCAATGGTTTGTCGTGATTGGTTGGTTTTTTGTTTGTTAGCAATTGAAAGCAGTGTATGAGACATATAGTGTGAGCTAGAGATGCGGAATCAAAAGAAAGATAGCGACAATGTTAATGCATTAAAACTGGAGCGGAAAAAGAAGAAGAAGAAGAAGAATGAAGAATTCAATGGAGTAAGCAGTTAATGTCGAATAAGGCACTTATGATTAAAATTATAATTCAGTTTCTTTTCACATAGCTCCTTCCATTCGTTCATATAGTTGAAGCACATGACAATGGTAACGGCTTGCGAATTGTGTTTCACTTTTTTTTTGTTTTTCTTTTGAAAATAACATAATTTTAACCTTAGGAAAAGAAACCAAATGCAACTATAGATGTGACGCGAACTTTTTTTTTTAGTATTGATAACCGCCGTTTGGTGCATACTGCTGTGTAATCGTTGGAGGTACTTGACTGCCTGGCCGACCCGATGGATATCCAGCGCTGCCACCATTGTTACCACCAAAACCATTACCGCCTTGACTGTATCCACCTTGACTGTATCCATTGCTACCGCCGCCGGCGCCGCCACCTTGATTTCCGCCAAATCCACTGCCTTGCGAACTACCGAAACCATTTGATGGCCGACCCGATGGATATCCATTTGCACCACCTTGCAGACCTGTGTTGGTTCGATTGTTTTCAATAAGTATCAAATGAATTCAAAAGCATTTGCAATCAGATGGTAAATATTCAGTTGAAATCTTACCGGAACCCGATTGAGGCGGTCCATAGCTTCCTGATGGAGTGCCTAATATTTGTTTATGAATAAATTGAATTGCTGTTAAGAATAAAAATCAAATAATAAATTTATTACCAAATCCTGCTGATGACGAGGATTGCTGTGGTTGACCAAAGCTACCACCAGATGGAGAGCCTAAGGTTTTTTTTATAAGAATATGAATCATTTTTTGTGAAATGAAGTTTTTCATTGGATTTTTAAAATTAACGACTTTTTCTGATCTTGTTAATGACACATTCATTCAAGTCGTTGCATTTTAATTTTTTGATAAATCTCTCTTGAAATGTTCAATGAGTTTAAAAAAAAATAGAATAAATTTTTACCGAAACTAGATGATGATTGTTGAGGTGGACCATAGCTTCCGGATGGTGTGCCTGAAAATAATTAAGTGTTCAGTAACAATTTTCCGATTATTTGTTTTAGCTGTGAAGTGGCAGTGTTGTTCATTTTGTTTTACCAAATCCTGATGATTGCTGTGGTGGGCCATAACTTCCGGATGGAGTATTACCGCCTGAAAAACGTTAATTTCATCATTAGTAATTCCATTTATTTAATGCGAAAATGGTGTCTGTCATTACCAAATCCTGATCCTTGCTGTTGTTGTGGTGCATTGTAACTGCTAGATGGGGCTGGTGGAGCTGAGAAAATTAAACAAAGTATTAATAATTCCAATCTCAATATAATCTATCAGTATGTTTATACCCAATCCTGGAGATGTTCGGTCTGGGATTCCGTAGCTAGTAGCTGGTGGTGAGAAAGTTTGTCTTGGTGCACCACCAAATTGCTGAGATGATTGTGATGAAAAAGCAGGAGTGCCATACTGTTGTGAAGGTTGTGCAGGGAATCCACCCGATGAGCTGCTGCGTGATCCTGGTCCGAATTGTTGCGATTGTGGTGGTCCATACTGTTGTGAAGGTGCATTACCTAACGAAAGTGGATTATTCGACGACAAAATATTATTTGAAAACAAATTGTCCATCATAAAAGATAATGTACCTTGACCTGGTTGACCTGATGGATAACCACCAGATGATGGGCCAGAGGCTGATCCGAAACCACCGCTTCCGCCACTACCAAAACCACCTTGTTGTTGCTGAGGTGGTGGTGGTTGTTGGCCAAAACTATTTTGTTGAGGGGGTCCATACTGCTGGGATGGCGCTAATTAAAAGATTTCAATTAGCTATACTCCATAGAATTTGTTTTTTTTAGCTCTCTATATTTTTTTGATAAATTTTTCCAATCTTTAATTTTTATCAATTCAAAATTCACATATACCTTGACCGCCAGGTCTGCCTGATGGATAACCACCAGATGATGGGCCAGATGCTGATCCAAAACCGCTTCCGCCGCTTCCACCGCTACCAAAACCACCTTGTTGTGATTGTTGTGGTGGCCCGTATTGTTGTGATGGAGCTAAATTTGAAATTGGATCATTAACATTGTTTTCATTTGCAATTGAGTAATATGATTCATACCTTGGCCAGGTCGTCCCGATGGGTAACCGCCCGAAGATGGGCCCGAGAAACCGCTTCCACTACCGAAACCTCCTTGCTGTTGCTGTTGAGGTGGCCCGTATTGCTGTGATGGAGCTATGATAAATTTCAATTTCGTTGTTAAGCTTTGAAATATTTCTTAAACTTAAACTGACACTATTCAGTAAGGATCTTCTGATTTATGAACCAAAAGCACCTAAATACTATAAAATTACCTTGGCCAGGTCGGCTTGATGGATAACCACCGGAAGGTGAGCCTCCTCCAAATCCGCCTTGTTGTTGTTGTTGCTGCTGCTGCTGCTGTTGGAAATTTCCTGACGGTGGTGGAATGTACGAGCTGCTGACTCCACCTGTAATCATTAAAAAAAAACAATGAATTATTACCATTTCAATTTATTCTTTTATGTCGATTTACACTGTAAACATAGAACTTCATTAAAATATTTGATTGCGAACCGATAGTGTCTATCAAAAATACGACCAGTTCGCGATCCATTTGTATTCAACCTTAATACGACCTAATCATGAAATTGATATAAAAAATGTGCTTTTCACTCACAAAATGATAATTTAATTTTGAATGAAACTCAGTAAAATATGTTTGAAGCACAATCAACTTTGAAATAAATAACGAATGTGAATTTGGTTGCTATTTATACCTTGACTGCCAGATGGTCGATTAAAGCCTCCTGATCCACCTGATTGAGGTGGGCCATATTGATTCGATGGTTGATTAAAACCGCTACCCCCAAATCCACCTTGATTTCCACCTTGGTTTCCGCCAAATCCGCCCGAACCTTGACTTGGTGGACCATATTGATTTGATGGCTGCTGAGACGATGATTGTTGTGGCGGTAAATATGATCGGTTTGGAGGTGCAAATGGAGCTGAACATAAAATCAATATATATGTTTTTAACATGTTTAAAGCGAAACATTTGATCAATTCGAGAAAAAAAAATACAAATCTCTTACCATCTCGCTTTTTATGTGCACCGGCAATTGCACATCCCAAGCATAATAATAATACTACAATTTTCTATGATGGAAAAATAAAATGACATCAGCATAGATTGATCATAACTTATCTTCATAAGGTAACCCCATGAATGTAAAAATAAATGTTTCAACTGAAGAAATGATCGAATTTATAATATTTTGTTGTTTTTTACACAAAAAATGGCTTTTTTAATAGAATTTAATTCACATTTTCTACCACCTTTTTAATGGCCACCACAACAAATAGAAATTGAGCAAAAATAATGTAGAACGATGTGCAAAATAATTACCTTATTTATATGTGCCTTCATGTTGAGTTACGTTTAATTACGCTGTGCTAGAAAATCTTCACGTTGACCTATGAAACAAATGTGCAAAAGGTGTCGGCTCATAAAATAATTGAAATTTTCCATTTGAAATTGAATTTGATGCGAATTTAAAGAATGAGAATGAAAAAAAATCAGATGACAACAACCAACAACTGTAGCGAAATGAGAGTAATTAAAGATTAATTCGCTTTACGTCGAACTGAGGACGCGTTTTTTGGTCTTTGTTTATTTGGAAAATGACTGGAAGGTAACACGCACTGGAGAAGAAAGAAAAATACCAACGAAAACAACATATTTTTGCAAAGCCCGCACTAAATCAATTGACATCGAAGATACATTTCTTAGGAATATATTAGTAAAACATCGAACACAGAATCGATTACCATCCAAAATATCAATTTCGTCTATGAGAAAATATCTACAATGCAGTACGAAACAATGTGACTCCGATTATGTTCCGAAAGAAGATGCGGTGGTATGAAAACCATTTACTCATTATGTGTTTCATTTATACACACTCGAATGGCCCGAATCATATGCTTGCCAATGGCCCGTACACACGTAGTCAGCTGAAAATTGAGACGATGATGAAGGCAAAAGCGTGCATTCAAATCTTTGCTCTTTACCGTAATACACGCGGCTATTTGACTTCGTTTTTTTTTTAAATGTACAATGTTGGTTCGTTTCATTCATTCAGCTGTACGGCTACGTTCGTCCATTCATTGATTTTGTACGGTGCTTGATATATCTTGTTAAGTGCCAATACTTAAAACATGAGACACAGATGATTGTGAACTGTTTGTGCGGCAATTCGTGCACACACACACACACACATCTTGAGTATAATAACCTTAAACAATTTGACGATTTGTTGATGTGGTTGTTATTGTTTCGTTTTTCATCGATTTTGTTTTGTCTATTTGGTTATTTGTGCATCTGTTATTGCTCGTTTCTTCTTCTTTTTTTCTTGCTAGTAGTAAATGGAATCAATCGTTACAAAGTCTAGCCAAGTAAACACAACTCAACACAATAATAATGACTAAACACATTTTCATCGGTGCGGGTCACATCGCAATTCTCTTCAGACAGCTCTATGTGTCATGGAGCTCGAATTTTCATGCAGAATGGTAATTTCATTTTCACCGTCATCGAATTGACGGTTTCATTTCGAGTAAACGTTATATTCAATTCCGTGCCGACACCGATGTGCCGTTTCTCTGTCATCTCAACAATGTTTTGTGAGAATCGCAACGAAAAAAAAAAAAAAAACAGACGTTACACGTTGATCAGCAGGGGATCATGATCACGTGAAATGTCTATATATCGCTAGTTGTTCAATTGTTTTTGTTCGTTTTTATTTTGTTTTTATATTGCATTTCATGCAATGAGGCAATATAATTGGAAAATTTGGACTTTCTTTAGCCGATTGAATGGATATGGATGTGAGAGAATTTTAAAATATCTCTGAAAACGTTCGTTGTGCCATTCAATAGCATTGAATGTGATTTCTAAATCAAATGCCATCGATGTTTTGTGTGTGTTTTGGCCGACGTTCGCAATTGATTGCGCTGTGCAAATGGTGTATCACGAATTTTGAAAATAAGCGCCAACAGGATAAAATTCGTTTCGTTTCTTTTTCTCATTGCATGAAGTAACGATCGAGTAAAATTGAAAAAAATGTTTATTTTATCTCCCAATCGCAATTTGCAAAGATTTTCTTTTCATTTCACATAAAATAATTTAACACTCTTTTCTATTTTCAATCACTTAACAGTCCATCAACAAACACGATAAAAATTTACAAGACATCAACTTTATATACATTCATTTGATGTACACTTTTAACACTTGCTTAATAAAAAAATTTAAATAAAAAATAAATTAGAAATAAACAACTAACCGTTAAAAATTCGGTTTGTAACTGATTTTTTTTTTCTTGTAAAAAAAAAATCAAATCAAATGCGACAAGCTCCGAATGGTTGTTGGAATAACAACAAATTCACTGTTAGTAGAGAGACTGTAAAAGAGCTACCCAAATAATTGAGATGATGGGAAGACAGTGAATGATGGCAGCTAAGGTTTAGTTTATCTTTATATACCAAAAAATTGTGCTAAACAGCCGATCAGTTTCCCTTTCATCTCTTGTACATTTTGTGTATGATCAATGAGTGTGTATCAATTTAAATCTCTCTTGTGTGTTTTTTTTTTCTTGTATGTTCGTTCGCTTCTATTTCACTCTATCTAAGCTCATAAGTGAAGAGAAGAGAAAAAAAAAACGATACGGCCATATACATACGTACACATTGACGCACAGGTTTATTTGAATGCAAATACGTGAATAACCGCAAGTACATCTTGATATTGTTTCTTAGAATCAAGCGTAAGATTGTGTATGTGTGTGCATGTCTGCATGTGCACGATCAAACATGTGCTCGCCGAGAGGGAGAAAAAGAGCTTTGAACGGTACGGTTTGGCATTCGATGGTTTTTCCACCGATGTTCATGCAAATGCTATATCTATCGAAATGAAGGGCCCACGCAAACCAATTGAAACAACAATAACCAAGTACAAAGATCCCCCCAATTTGTTGCTTTAGTTTCCCATTTGTTTCTCCACATACAACAGTAGCCAAGACTGAATTCAATGCTTTTCGGTGAATGAATGGCAGCAAGAGAGAGACGCGATGTGATCTCGTGGTGGATGTATCTCATTGTCGGATGGATTGGTGCCAATCTGATGAAATTAAGTGCGTGCATTCATGATTGCATTTGATTTTACAATACACAATAATTTGAACGTAGATGATGCGCGACAAATGGTATACAAACAGCTATAATTAATCATGACACATATTTTGCGTTTTTGTTCGCCTTTTGTCGCTGCATTTTGATAGAGTACCTTTTAATTGATCATACAAATGATTATTTCTGTCTATTTTTCTGTCTTTTTTCCATCAATTCTTGATCAGCAATTCAATTTGCAATCACTGTTTCAGCGCCAGTCAACTCGAGATAAATCATTTTGCATCGTGCGCGCGCACAACACGAAAATTGAGGTGATTGTTAAATTCATTCCATTCGTGTGTGGCCTCATCAAATTCGCATCATATCCAGTTAAACTGTGAATCGCATCAACCAAAATGCAATTAGCTATTGCATTTTGCGCATTGAAATACAAAAATAATACAATGTTTCTTTTTCTTCGTCTTCTTGGGGATCCTTGCAACAACAAAAAAAAACGAGAAGATAATCGATTGATCACTTACTGTTCACTTCGGTCGTGTGATGAAATCATGTATTTGCAATCGAATGCAGATGGTGTGGAAATACGAGAATTTCGTCAATGTATTGTCGGCCGCCTTTAGCGTGCACAAGGAAGTATGCTATTCAAATTCTAAACAAAACAACTAATAAATGAGCTAGCATCATCTTCAAAATGGCTAAGTGAAGCGCCATTTATTTTCTCATTCTTCTTCTTCCTTTTCTTTCGATCTTCAATTGATGGCTTATGATTTATGTTTACAGTTCTATTATTATTGGAATGCAGACATAAAAATCTTGTAAATTGTACTTGTAGTGTCATCATCGTCACACATTTCGAATTTGTTACGCAAAATTAAGTATACTTGGCTCTCGAATGTGATGTGCTTTAATGCTATTTTGGTTTGATTTTTTGTTGATGTTGTTGTTGTTTGGTTGTTGGGCCTTTCCCATTCTTGCTATCTTTTCTCGCATTTGTTTCGACGATGTGAAGATCGAAAGTCAATTAGCAAAAAAGATAATCCAGCCAAAGCGAGAGATTCATATGATGTGACTCTTGGTGCATCGGCAGAAATTATATACATACGAATTCCTTTTGCAACCGAAAAAAAATGTGTTTATTTTTTTTCGCGCTCACCATTGTACCGCTGTTGAAGACGTGCATTCATACTCAGTTTTAGTGGTTTATTTTGAAATGGTTTATTTTTTCTTCATTTGTTAGTGCAATACCGACAAATGATTGGGAAAAGCAATCAAATGGAATCGTTTTCGAGACAACGGCGAACAATAACACACGACGGGAGGTGACATGCTACGATTAAATAGAGTAAACGAATTCATTGCGTTTTATTGTTCCAAAAGCAGCAGATCATCTCAATTATTATTTTCGGTTCGAAATGGCTAAATGCATGGAAGAGAACGTTTCAATTGGCTCTGTCTTGCCAAACTGGAGTCTTATGATCAAAGAATTTTTGCTCAAGACAAACACGAAATATATCTCTAACCAAAAAAAAACACTTGTTTTTCATGCCATTTCATCAGAAAGAATACGTTGAAATTAGTCAAATGTATTAACGCATTAACGTCCTTTTGGCCAACCATCAAATCAGCAACAAAAATACATTGCCCAATTTTTCATTGATTCACGACAGACACAGAAAAAAACATAAGATAAAATAAAGTGATTAGCGCTCGTCAAAACTGATGTAATAAAGGAAAATTGTAACAAGTTGTTTGATTTGGATGTCGTGATACAAACCGCATAAACAATCCATGAAATTTGCTTAACGCGTCTACAATTTAGAATTCTTTTTGTTGACTGGAAAATAACGAAAGTGAATAATGACGACGACTAATGTGATAGTTAGATGATGGAACCGAAGACCATTTCAGGGCAATTCATTCACAAAAAAAAATGAGTTGAACACACTCTCTCAATTCTCATGCACATCCAGATATTCCAAAATGTTAACCAATAAAATTTACGGCGCTTTGAGTTTTTCTGAATATTTCTTTGGTTTTAATATTTCAATAGGAGATATTTTCCTTTGTTTAACGCTACGACGGTTACACGTTTTGTCACATCGCTGAAATTTGCTCTGTTATTTGTATAATTTTTTTTTGTCTTGTTATTTGTTTCATCGTGTGTTTTTTTTTCTTCTGCTCGTTTACAACCTCAGTGCATTGTACCACACATTACATTGATCTGTAAGTGATGATATGGCATGAAAAGAATCGAGAACAAATTATCGTTTGACACAAAATCACGACACATGATGTTGTAAACGGATGAGTTGGCATACACAAACAAAAACTTAAGAAAACAAAATGAAGAAGAAGAAGATGACGACGAAGGAAAAGAAACGAATAGCAATCAGCATTATGAGGAACATTTCAAATACAAATTACACACAAACACACACATAAGATTAATTTTGTTTTTATTGCATTATTATCGTTTGAGTTGTTTCAGTCAAACGACAGATACAATTCCGTTTCGAAATATTTCATCAAAAGACGTTCTTTTGTTTTGTATCAATCTCGAATCGGAAAAGAATGTGTTCATGGCGACAACGACGACATATCGTGAAATATGATTTTCCATTTTGTATTTCGTTTGGCTCATTCGGATTGTTGACAAAACACCCGTTTATACAGAAACAAAACCTTCGGGGTTCTTCTATTTGGTGACAATTTTAATGGTTTTTATTCTCTCTCACCATTTTTTCAAATAAAATTTGAAAAGTAAACAGAAAAAAAGCACGTCGAATCCACAATACCAAAGTCATAATTAAACAGTTTTACTTTTATGTTCGTTCGTGTCTCATCGGAAGTTATGATGTCACGACAAATAAATTTTTACAATTGGCATCCCAATAAACAAATGACTCAACAACGATGGCTTATTCACCCAAACAAGATTTCCTAATAAATTTACCATCATCTTTTGTTTGACTTACGACGTCTACTGTGTTCTATAACAACAAAAAAAGCCTAAACGCTCATTTGCTATTCACATCAAGTACATTTCTAGCCAATTTTTTTTACACTCCACTAGACGCTACAAATTTAAAAGTAGAGACAACATAATGGGATTTGATATATATATTTTTTCAAATACAAACACAAACAAATTAATGTAAGCAAAAGACAATTGTCGGTCCATTTACGGGTTTCGGTATCAAAACGTTTCAAACATGAAGTGTGCGTGAAAAATCACGCGAAAAAATGTCGAACTTTCCGTTGGCCTTATTAACTCGAAAATTTCGACTGGAATTTATAAATAAGTTATCAGTCACGCCATCGCCAAGGCAAATGATAGAGACGTGTGCAGACCCAGAATGTCCGATCCACGTTTGGCTCTTTAGGCCATAATACCATACAGACATTGTATCTTCTGTAAGCGGTAACGGTAGCGTGAACATTACTTTTTTGCACACGCATTTGTACAACAATCGAATCAAGTTCAATGCATATTAACAAGCCGCTGACCATTTATTCAAAATTAACATTTAAATAATGGTTTTGCTAGCAGGAAATTAGACAGATTTCTTTAACAATGGCCAAACACAAAAACTACATCACAAATATTTTACGGGTTCTTTCCAGTACGTTGATCTTTTTTCTTGTCTTCATCTCTCGATCGCATTGATGAATTTGAACAGTGAAAAAGCAATGAATTTGAACAGCGAAGGTTAGATAATTTGAGCATTTTAATCGTTGAGAAAGGAAAAGTGATTGAAATCGAACACCATGAAATGCGTGCCAAAACGCACATTTTCAATTGTTTTCAACGCAATCGCATTTCAAATTCCCGATTTTAACCAAATGCTATTATTATAATTCGTTGATTATGCATTGTAACCAAATACATTGTGCCTACATTCGTAATTTCACTTCTTTTTTTTCATCGGCTTATTTCTCTTTCTTTTCTCAGCCTCTTATTTACATAATTTTTCCATGAAATAAAGAAGGATCATCGAGAAAATTATCTAATTTAACGAATGTGAGTTCGGCTTAAGTCATTTGGCATGATGTCGATGTTTTTTTTTTGTTGTTGTAATTTATGAATTGTTTATTCACAGAGAAGAGATTGAACGATACATTTCTGAAAACAACAAGTGAATAGACACTACGATTGAACTAATCAGTAAACCGTGTAGATAAAAGATACACACACTCATCCATTCATTTTGACCAGTTCATATATTTTATTGTATTTGACCTTAGTTCATCAGCTCATCATCAATTCATGCAATGCCATTCTTTTATATTACTCATAATAAATTTAATT